GTGAGTATTAAGCAATAATTTTAGCATAACTTATCCATTTTCTATAAAAGTAAATACCAAGGTTGATGCAAGAGGGACGGCTGACCAAGGTACTTTGAGGGGAGTACAAGTTGAGCTAGGTGGTCCAATGACTAGAGCTCGTGCCAAGAAACTTAAGGAGTCAATGCAAGCCCTAGTTTATGCTATACATGATAGAGCTAGTCCTGCGAATATTATTCAAGAGATTAACGAGGAAGAAACAACTCATTACCCTTTCATTCAAGTCTTTGAATCAAGTGAGGCAAAGTTGAAAGATTCGCTTGCAGTTTAAAATGTTCAATTTCTGGTTTAGTCCATTAGTGTTGAGTCGTTTGTCTTAGTGTTGTTTCAGCAATGGTTTTAACGTTAATTACTTTGCTAAATTTAGTTGTTAATTCCTTTAATTAATTCGGCTAGATTATGTCTCAAGATGGGTCGACTTTTTGTCAATAATTTAAGGAAATAAGTGGTTCCAAATCACATTAGGTTTTGAGTCTATATAAGACTGTAAATAGCTAAGTACTTCCATTATTTCATTAGTTTTGGAATATATTAGAATTTTGTGTGTTAAATATCTTTTCTCTTGTCCAAGAGAGTTTCTTTTGAATACTTGAGAATTACTTGAGAGTATTCGACGAACTTATTAATCAAGTATACACTTTGATTGTGGTGTTCTTCTATCTTTAACATTGGTTCATTAAATCATGCAATTGTGGGTTGAGATTCAATTCAAGGTTCGCAATCTTAGGGTTTAGAAGGGTCAAGTTTTTTTCCGCACTCCAACTTGATTTCTTCGTCTAGATCCAGGGTTTGGTGGCATATGAGTTCATACCTTCAGGCGGATTCATATCAACTTGGTAATCAGAGGTAGATTGATGATATCAAATATATCTTGTTCATGTCTTCATAAGTTTTCATTCTAGGGTTTCTTGTTTTTTGTTGATGTTTGTGTGATTTATTGGCTATCCAAACTTCTATTCTTATTTGCATCATGTTTCTTGTCTTGTTGAAGTCCTGTTTCTTAAGTCTTAAAGTCATATAGAGTAAAAAAAAAAAAGTACTATTCATTGTCGCGCCTCATTTTTAAATAAAAAATAAAATAAATGGTTTAAAAAAGAAGGAATTTTAATTCAATTTTTGTTGAAAAATAATTTTTAATTTTTAAAAAGAAAATGGGCCTAAATGGGGCTTTAAAGTGCGACGATTTGGGTCTAAAAATAGTTAAAAAGGGTTTTAAAATGAAAAAATAGGAGTCGCCACTTGGTATTGAGTTAAGGTGTATCAAGTCACCTAAAACAAATTTTTAGATGAAAAAGTAAGAGAAAACCCTTTTTAACGACTTCGAGTCTACGAAAACTAAGAGAAAGAGTTTGGGAGTCACATTTGAAGAAAGAGAAGGCAAGGATAAAAATCCAAGGCACCCTTTCAACCTAACCAAGGCTAGTTGCGTGATTTAGTCAAAAGTTTTCTTAATTTAACCTAAAAAATTTATCACATTTTGGAGGTATCTACATGAATGCAAACCCTAAACCTAAAAAGGGCATTGGAGGGGAGAAATGTATCTTCAAAACTTACTCGATACCAATCACATTAATTGTGATACCCAATAGTAAACTTTCGAAGAAGTCACGAATTTGTGCAAAAGATGAGACTCAAAGAAAAGAAAAAGAAAAATAATCATAATTATACAAATATACATGTCCTAGAGGAATGCATCATATCGGGTACGGAGAACTAATGTTCGTGACTCAATTTTCCCTTTTATAGAGGGAATACGAGCGTGCTAAGGGTAAAGAGCCAAACTCGTCCATATCCCATATTTAAGGATTTTCTATCTAAACAAGCAAATGTACTAGCCTAATTCTAATTCTTAAATGGAATGCAAATCTAATGTCATGTTTTCATATAAAGAGGTAAGGGATATACATAAAAAAGGAAATATGGGATAAGGGATATAAATATAAGGGAATATAGGATAAGGGATGTACATATGCAAAGTGGTAAAACCCTAAAAAGTAAAAAATATGCATGAGATGAAGTGATATTATTACACAATCATGATCTAACACTCGAAGGGTTCCTAAGGGTCTAGCGTTGGACTAACCCATATCTATGAAGTCTCATTAGTGTTGGACTAGTGAGAAGGCGGGAAATAAGTGCCACAACTAGCGTTGGACTAGTGTGGTAACGTCACATACCAATTATAACTAATTAATCATGTAAAACATAATAAAAGCATGTAAACACATAATATCACATAAACACATAGCACATAAATATGATATCTAGATACAAAACCCTAAGAAAGCGAGTAAACACATAACACATAGCATGCAAAGCACATAAAGCAAATAAAATCCTAACTATTACATTTGGGGTCCTAACTACAATCTAAAGGGGGAGAAATAAAATAAAAATAAAAATAAATTTCTAACTATTACATATTCTATCTAAATACAGATCTTGAACCCCCTAACTATTACAATTTGGCATTTAAATGCCTCTTAAATAATTACATTAGAATAAATACGTAAAATTAAAGTAAATGAAATAACTAAAGAAATAAATCAATGAAAATAAAATAAAACATTCAAATATCATGCAATTTCACACATAAATTCACATAAGGGCACATACAATCAATACAGTCAAAATAAGGGATAGTGTATACCTCCCTTGAGTTGGTACCCTAATGAAGCGAAATTACTTATTTACCCTCCAAAAACAAAGAAAAGGTCAAGGCATCACTTTAATTAACAAATAATCACTTGATATGGAAATAAATAGGAAATTGAATCACTCAAGGCATTCAAATAAACTAAACAATCCATATTCATCAAATTGAAACAAACAAGGACCCCATTGAAAGAATTAAAGAAGTTCGAGGGATCAAATTTATTATTATTATAAATATTAAGGGTCTAAAACGAAATGAATTAAAATTAAGGGCTTAAGGTGAAACCTACCAATCAAATGACAAAATTCATAAAAATAAGTCAAAACTCTCTCATCAAGCCTCAAATGAAAAATATTACTCCAATCGAAACCATTTGCACAAAACTCTAAGTCAAGAAATTATAAATCTATCAAAATTTGTTAAATCTTCAAAATTCATCCCAAAATTCACTAAAATCTATCCCAAAATCACATTAAAATATACCGAAGAAAAATATAATGCTAAAGGGACAAAATTGATCAAATTATCTAGTTAGTTGGGCCATAGTAGAATGATATGAAAATACAGGGGTTAAATTATAATTTTTGAAATTATTTCATACAACCTACGAGACTTTCTTTGTTTCTGCTGGTTTCCTTTCTCTGCAACATTCCAACCATAACTTTCCACTTGGGATCCTCGGTGACATATTTTCTATGCCAATCCAATGCCACCTCTAATATTGCGTCAAGTGTCCTATTATTATTTGCATTTTAATTTTCTAATAATTCAAATTGGTTTGGTTTAACACAAATTTTCTCTACCCTCTAAACCTTTGAACCAAAATTAACTGACCGGTCTAATTCATAGACCAATACTTTCATCATTGGTTGCCTTCAAACTCTCCAATCCACTCCGATGCGGTCCACACTTCAATGTCATCGTCCTTTTGATTCCTCCACCAGCTCCGCCATTCCACGTGCAGATTTGCTCCGGCGAAAATTCTCAGCCACTTCAGAACTCCTCCTCCCTCCCCTAGTCACCAGTCACCGGTCCCCATATTTCAGTTGTAGCTGAAAACACTAACAAACCCATCATCAATGAACCTCAAGATCTCTCAACACTACTCCCCATCCTTCCAATTCATTCCATTCAAAATTTAGTATCACATCATCTAATACTTCTCCCTCTGATTCAATGAGGATCATGACATCAATTCCGCGACCCTTAAATGAATCTTGGAAAAGCATGCTTCCCGGTCCACCTTCTCGCAACAATGGCGGTGCCGTCGACCTATCTCCCGTCGGTCTCCTTGCTTACGCCGCCGACAGCTCTTGATCCATTGTCGATACCCATTCTATGCAGTTAGTTGCCACAATTCCTCTCCCTCCTCCATCTACTGCTGCTACCTCTGCTACTCCTTCCCTCTCCCCTTTCGTCACCTCCGTCCGCTGGTCCCCGCAGCCTCTGCCCCACCAGCTCCTCTCCCCAGATTCTCTCAACCACCTCCTTCTCGCCGTCGGTGATCGCCAGGGCCGCATCTCCCTCCTCGATTTCCGCTCTAAATCCACCATCCTTAACTTCGAAACTGAAGCCGCTACTTCCAAGCTACGTATCCAGGACCTTTGCTGGATCCAGACCTGAATTGATTCCTGGATCCTCACGGCTCTATCCGGACCCTCTCTGCTCTCCCTCTACAGTACCATTTCCGGTCGTTGCTTCGTCAAATATGGCGCCTTCATACATGGTAAATTATTTGTAAACAATAAACAATAATTCATGTTAAATCAATAACAATAAAAACAAAAGTAAAAAAATAGGGCATATAAATTACCTAGAATTGAAGATAGTAATAAAATCTCTTTTTAATTCCCTTGCTGATGTTCGCTCCAGCAACTGTTCTTGACAACAATATGGTGTAGAATCTCGTTATCCAAGACAGGGGAAGACAAGTCACCTCTTGGCATTAAAACGCAGGCAAAACTTTAGAGTGGTGATGCAAGGTCTTTTCTCAACTTTTAGCTTATTAGGCAACAGTGCCACAAGCTTCCAGGACTTTGTCTCTTTTTGGCTTTGTTCAAAGCAATCACCGATGAAAGACTTTGGTGGCTCAATCGCCTAGGTTTTCTTTTTCTTTTTCCCCAGATCGCGAGTGGTTAACTCAAAAGTGATGGTATTTGAATTAGACCGGCCGGTTAATTTTGATTCAAAGTTTTAGAGGATAGAGAAAATTTGTGTTAAACCAAATCAATTTGAATTATTAAAAAATTAAAGTGCAAATAATAACAGAACACTTGGCACAATATTAGAGGTGGCATTGGATTGGCATTCAAAATATGTCACCGAGGATCCCAAGTGCTCAAAAAAAACCCAAAAAAAAAAAAAAATTATGAACCCTAGTTCGTCCGTAAAAAGCGATACTCAACCTGCCCCGCCTCCAACCGACGACTTTGATGATCTGTATTGGCGCATCAAGTATGGCGCCGGCGGAGAACCATCCGCCAAAAGACAAAAACAATCCGAATCCGAGGAAGAAGATGGTCTCTTTCGTGAGCCCCCATCAACAGACGACATCATGAGTTCGGACTCGGAAGAGGAGGAATCCTGGCTCCTCGGAAGAACTGAAGAAGAGGCCGCTAAGATGTGGCATAAATACAGCAGTCAGATCAAGGAGAGCGGGGTAACGTAGCTACATCATTATTTGTTGGAAAGTCCTTTTTTATATATGTATATTATTCGGTGGATTTGATTTTGCTTTAGTGTAGTATTTGTTCGATCGCTGCTATTCATATGCAACAGTGGATATTTGTATTTTTTTTTTCCAAAATGTTGTTGATTAATTAAACAGAACAAGTAGTAAAAAATTTTTCAGGGTTTTGATGTTGATGAGGATGCGTATCCTGGAGGCTCCTTTGCTATGTACGTGCCTTGCCCAGAATTCAGGGAGGATGAGGGATGCTACGACTTAGTGAAGAAAATGGCACGTGAGGCGGTGAAGATCTTCAAGGATGATCGGGTGTGTGATTTAACAATTTTTTCCCCATTTGATTTGGTTCCAACTGCCGAGCTATTTTGTTGATTTTTTGGGATCTTATACACTTTGGGTGAATTAATTAAAGCATCTTTGATTGACTGCCTTGCCTTGTTGTTGTATTAGGGCAAACAGTATGAACTTGTGGATGTTGAGAATGTCGTTTGGACACTCAATCGTCTGTATTATATCACCTTTAAGGCCAAGCAACTTGATGCCCCTGCTGATGCCAAAGCTGATGATGTTGTGAAGACAATGCAAGCGGTCGTTTTCGATTGCTTCAGTCATTTTCCCGTCCAAAGTTGCAGGATTAAACCAACTAACTAGGCAGTTCAAATTTGTTGGTTTCTTGTCTTATCTTTAGTTGGGCTTATTCAGTTGTTCTTATAGGTCTACTAGTTTATTTGTGTTTTTTGGCATCTCGGATAGACACCTTTGCCAGTAGTCCCGAGCTCATGTTGAGTTTCATCGTGCTGAATATCTAAATTAGTTGTGAATCAGACTTCCTTTGTTATCTTGTCTTAGTAAAAGACAATTTTCTGAAAGTTATTGGTACGTCTGTCTTGTAATACATGGCTAACTTTGGGAGCAGTTGAAAACTGGCTTTATGGTAAGAATAGTGGCACATCTGGATTTTGCTATTTGTGGATGGTTAAAGATTTATCTGAAGCTCATTGAAAGCATGGGGGTTATGAACGAGTAGTTCATCAGCTTTTCTGGTGATATTTTTTAAGCAATTGAGATTACAGAGTACAAAATGACTCCATTACCTTTTTTTCTTCCCAATTGAGATTAAAAGCTGTTAGAGCCATAGTACACTGTAATATAGCCAGAAAACTCATCTATAGCCTGATTAGTCTTCAAAGCAGCACGCTTGTTCAGTGCGTTTTCGATTGCTCTCAACACATTTTCTTGGCCAGCGTGTGAAGCAGAGTACATAATTTAGCAATACAAGCTATAAGGCAGAGTGAATACTTACATTTAACTTCTAAGATCATTCTATGCAGAGGTGTTTGCAAAATAACGAACTGTAGTTGATGCATGCAGAGTAAGAAAATCAGAAATAATTTTGAAGCATTCTCTACGGGCAAAGCACGCATACTCAACATAGCATAAACCACACAATACTTTCAAAACAAAGCACGACTCACAAAGGATTAGAAAGGTCAATAGGCATCAGAAGGACCAAACCAGACGAATCAATCACTAGTCGCACTCTCGAGCTTAGGAAATATGAAGGTAACAAATGGAAGTCAGCAACAAGAAGTTTGTAAAAATGAAGACAGAACCAAGATCCTTTTAGCTGTTCTCTCGCGAGGCAAAGCAAGTGTCAAAGTTAGGCAGCAGAATCAACAAAATTAGAACCATCTGAAAAAGACAAGCAATAGAAGAGGCAGAATTACCGTAGTGAAGAAACAGGGATACAAAATCGGCCATAGAACAAACGCTTCAATCTGCAAAGCAGATTGAGAAGACTAAATATGGCATGCAGCGAAAAATGACTTGAGAAATAGCAAGTGAAATACCAAGTACCAGTGATGCCTTAAGCCAAGAGACCATATGAATTCAAGTAGGGACACCTTAAACATAACTTGCAGTACATCATGATGAAAGTATGCCATCTCGATAACCAGACTATTTAATGCCACGTAACTTCAAGATCATCTTAAAACTAGCAGAGCAAGAGAAAATATAGGCACACAGAAAGTCGAACACGAGAAGCACCCCATTTTCAAAACAAGGTGAAGGAAGGAAAGCAACATTTGAAAAAATGGAGCTTATTAAATTTACCCCCTCCAAAGCAAACTTGAATACTTTTCAACACCAACGCAGTAGTTTATGGGACTTGCACCAAGTGGAATTGTAAAGCAGCTAATCTCCAAAATATAAACTCTCATGGTGAACGACTACAATTCGAATTTCAAAGTTGAGATAATGAGCAGTTGCAATAGCTGCACCAATGCAATGAGAAGCTTGAATCTCACACAGCGAATTTCAATATTGCATCCCTCCCCCTCCAAACAACACACACCAAAAAAAGGACACAACCAAAGCTACTTAATTATTACTTATGACTGCAGTTAATCTCAAATTCCACACATCATCTATTAGCTACTGCCTACTAATCAGGAAAGTCTTGTTATGATTCTTCCAGAAAAAATAAAAAAGAAAAGGTGAAGTCGCTTGCATGATTGACACCAGTTTGCAGAAGTTTCAGTGCAGTAGCTTCTAAATCGATCAATTTAAATACCGGCTATTGTCCATTGGAGAGATCCATACAAAAAGCTCTGCAAAATGCGTGAGAGTTTAAAGTGAAATCATAGTAGTTTATCTTCAGTTTTTTTCCTTCTCTTGAGCTGGGGTAGATAATAGTAGAGGTCTTAACTCTGATTCTTCTCAGCAAATCGAAAGGTTCATTCGGGGATGGTAGTGGTGGGATGAGAGTGGTGAAGAGAACCATGAATGCCTTTGCCACATGGACTTCTCATGCATAGCTTTTGAGCGTCGAGAATATGAGACAGCAAGAGGTAGAGAAAGTTGAACCCCCTCCTGCAATGCCTCAGCTTGTGTTGTAGAGTCATTACCATCATTTGCAGACAATCCTTCAGAGTGGTTCTGTCCAGCTTTCCTTCCAGCCCTTTTTTTTCTCCCCATATCCTCACTTGTTGAAGCTCCAATAGACCGTCCACGACAATTTTAGAGTCGGACAAAGTCAGAACATTGTCAAAATTCAACTGGAGTATTAATCTCAATCCCATCTTTAGTGCACATATTTCAGCAGTGAGATCCGTGTTCAAACAGATGTTCATGGCAAAAGCTGTGATAAAATCTCCCTGATAGGTTCATACAAGGCCTCCTATACCGACTATATGATTTAATTGACAAGCTCCATCAACCAAAAGAATAACCCAATCAGGACTAATGGTTGGGAGGTAATGTCTGATTGCCCCCAGCTGCTGAATGTTCATCCTATCATTTGACTCAAAGTGTTGCCTTCCACCATTTTGCTGAATTGATAACCTGTTGCGGATCAAAAGCCATGTTCCAAAAGACTACCGATTGATCCTATGGATCCACATACTCCACAGCATATACAGCATGATTCAGTCGAAAGTGGAAGATTCACTGAGCTCAACTATAGGGTTCTTGTACTGCTGATGCCTGTCCAAAGATATTGGGAGGCATCTCCAGAACCATTGAGTTAAAGTACAAACCCATAAGAAATGTTTGAGAGTCACCGGGACTAGATGACGGAGGGGAAATGTTTAAGTACTTTAATTTATTTATTTATGCTACTACCGGTTCACGTTTGGCTCAAATTTGACTGCTTGACGCTTATATCTTGTATGACAGACTGGTTCATATCTTATGATGGGACTTTTATATGCATAAAGAAAGTTCCTACCAAGTAAACATGACATCGGATCATGCATTTTTAAAACATCCAAAAAACTCATAGATATTCATCCTTGAGCCAAGTGAGTATGAAAATGGTATAGCAAAAAGTATACCAATCCAGCAGGAGTCAGGACCAATATTAAGGTGTGTAAATGATAGCCAAGAATGGACTCAACTCAAAGAAAAACAATGCAATTAAGTACTTCCACGCTCACACGTTATAGCCAGATACAAACACATATATACAGACTAAAGGCGCTCGCAATTTATATTAACTATCAGCTAAACAACAGGAATACACCAAGAGACAATTCTAAAACTCTACAAGAGAGAGTAACAGTTACAAATGAAAGATTAATTACTCTTCATTAGTTTCAAAAATCTTATAATAGCTGGTACTAATAGTCTTTCTCTTCTCTCTCATTTTTTTTTTTTTTTTGTAAGAAAAGACATCATTAATAATAACAGTTAACAGAGGTTTACAAACCGAGGCAGGGCAAAGCCTCTGCAATCAAGTTCTGAAAGTTCTGAAATTGCCAAGGGATTACAATCAAACAAAATAAAGTCTTCCTCTGCTTCTACACCCTCTACACCCTTCTTGGGGAAGGAGAATCTTGGAATCTCTAACACATTTCCTTTCAGCTTCCTGATCTTGTTGTTGTAGAAGTCCTCACAACTACAGAGGTAGTTGCCTGGAATGTTTGCATAATAGTCCTGCAATCACAAACAATCAGAGCAGTAGAATGCATTAGGTCAGCTTCAGAACTAAATAATTCTACTTGGACTTTTGCATCCAACTCGACAATGAGTTTAGAAATATTAAGTTGATTTGCTAACTGCAAACCGTCCCTTAAAGCCCGCAGCTCAGCTACAGTATTTGTCACCCAGCCAATATTTCTGCAAAAACCACCAATCCATTCTCCCAGGTAATTTCTAATGAGGCCTCAAGCCCCCTGGATTGCCAAGCTAGGCTCCATCCGTATTGAGTTTAAAGACATTTGGGGGTGGGGAAATCCAACTCATCAAATTCTGTTGTTTGACCACCTTCAAGAATTCAGCGGCAATAGCTATGGCTGCTTGAATTGGATTACTTCTGTTGGTCTGAGGTTCAAACAAATTTCTATTTCTTTCGTTCCAAAGGACCCAGCAACCAAAGGCAATTATAGACCCCTTTGGGATTTTATAGAACCTAGACTCAGCAGCATTGAGGCAAGTAGTCATAAGCCAAATTTTTGTGGACTGTCCTGATTGCGGATGTAGAATTTGGGGTAAGGATAGCTCTCGCCAAAGATATTTAGCTCGGGGACAATCCCAAAGGACATTGAGAGAGTCCTCTTACGTCCCATTACAGAAAGTGCAGTTCGAATCAAGAGATTGTTTTTTTGTAGGAAGTCTATCCTGGCAGGCAATCCAAAGAAAGTGCAATACCGTATTCTTAGTAGCAACTTTCCAGACCCAACTTAGCTCCAAATTCCCCACGGTTGTTCTGCTGTCCTTCCCCTCAAAAGGTCTGCTTTCCATTTCAAAGTGTCATTCCAAGACATAAAATGCTGTCTTGGAATTAGGAAAGCTAATTGTTTCAACACGAAGTTCAGGAAGCTGAAAGGAAATGTGTTAAGAGATTCCAAGATTCTTCTTCCCCAAATAAGTTAGCCACTACTAAATTTTCTTCCCCAAGCTGTAACGGTCCACTAATAAAAGACCTCAAAGATCCAAGACCAGTCCAAGCCTCAAACCAAACTTGAACGTAGTTCCCATTTCTAATAACCCATCCAATACCCCTATTAAAGAGATCCACTCCCATCTTAGGATTTGATGTTTAGGGTTCAATTTGGAAGTTGGGGAAGAAGACCTATCTAGTTAATGGGTCGGGTCATTTTGGTGAAAACGGGTCAAACTTAAGGAAAGCTATTTAAAAAATGGGCCAAATAGTGTTGGGCTTGCACATTAAATTGTAGGTTAAGGTTTGATTATCGAATAGGGCTAGTTTGGGCTGAAAGGGAATAGAGCTTCTATTAAATTATTACAACTTCTTTTGGATAAAACCAATAATGTGCTAGATAAAATATTTAAGTGAATGGCTTGGTAGACTTACTAAACATTCTCAAATAAATATAATGAACTTATTTCACAAAACTTAAAACCAAAATTGTAGTGTTTCAATGCGAGCCTTACATTTGATCATGGAATTCTAGGGTCCAATTCATTGCACATATTTTTTAGGAAGTTTTGAAAACTCAAA